AATGAGCAGGATGTGTATATACATGGAATAGTTACATATATAAAAAGAATTTTAATGAGCAAATAATTAAGCCCATATGTAAATACACTTATAAGCACATCTCCGTCGATCACTCTGTTCTCTTCAAACATTCATACTTATTTTCTACATTATAAGATTCGGCCGTGGCTTGTATACGTTACATATAACATGCTTATTATGGCATATCCGTTCGGCTATGCCATCAACCCAAGTGACCTTGACAGCAACAAGCAACAGTAGTCGTCGTTTCTCAAGAAACGCTTCATCGCACTTATACATACATATGTATGTACACTAGCAGTGGAGTTTTCGAGTGACTAATGCCTGGCTGGATCGTGTCTGCGACCACTTCTTATTTAGCGTTGCCTCTTAACCCAAATTATAAACATTTGGAAAACATAACAGCTATTTAAAAGGCGCAAAAAACCATTAAACATTTAATATGCATTATTCTAATGCGTGTCTCTAACATCTTTGTAAATATTTAGAATTAATATAGGATTGTGTTAAGTGGCGTTTCCTTTTGTTGCTCTTTGCCTTTGTCTCATTGTGTGACATTTTGTGTGCATTGACGATTATGAACTTGCAACACATACATAACTACATATAAGTACATATATATGTGTTGAAATGTACAGTTTGGCAAGAAAGTGTTTACACACAGGGAAAAAATTTGAATTTTTTACTTTGAAGCGAAATAAAAGCAGTAAGAATATGCATATTCAATTTTTTTAAAATGAAAGTAGGTATATTAGACTATAAACTATATTAGTAAGTAAAAAAAATTACAATATGTTTCCATTAACAAAAGAAAATAACAAAAAACAAAAGAAGTAACAAAAATCAGCTGACAAGAAAGTGTTTACACAACTAAAACAATTAATTCATTATAATGTTTTAACTACTTTTTATTTAAAACTAATACTTTTTTTGGCCACCGTTGGCATCTATGACTGCTCCCAAGCGTCTATTCATCGATTGGACCAAGTTTCTGACATATTCCACTGGGATATTTCGCCATTCCTCCAAAACAATGGTTTTCAGCCCAGTTTTATTCTTTGGATGTCTCTTGGTGGGTAAAACTGCCACAGAGATTGGCCAAATATTTTGATTTTTTGGAAAACAGTATATAATATACTAAGCCGTGCAAAAAAAGAGGATAGGCTTGAGTTAAAGGTTAAAGGTTAAAGTTAAAGGACACCCTCATCTATTATCACCCAGGGCAGAGCGAATTATGCTCAGAAAAATGGACGAGAAACCAACTATTTTGACCAGGATGGTTGCCAGTGAGCTGAAGGAGGAGTGTAGCATAACCATTTCCCGGGAAAGTGTCAGAAGAGCACTAAAAAGTAATGATCTGTCGTCCCGACTAGCCCGGAAAAAAAAACTGATGTCGGCAGATCACGCTCAAAAGCGTCTAACGTTTGCTAAAATGCACGGAAATCAGCCAGATTCATATCGGGATGATGTAATATTTTGCGATGAATCCAAAATGATGGTATATTATAACAATGGTCCAACTAGAGAGTGGGGCAAGCCCCTAAAAGCCCTCGAGAAGAAAAATATAATACCGACTGTTGATTTTGGGGGTGCATCTCAAGCAAAGCAGTTGGATATCTATGTTTTATTGAGAACACCATGGATGTTGGACAGTATTTTGACATTTTGCGCACACATTTAGTAACCAGTGCCAACAAATTTGGATTCTTTGTCAATGGCAAACCAACTATAAGGTTTTTCAAGACAATGATCCCAAACATAAGGCGCATATTGTGAGGTGCTGGCTACTTTATAACTGAAAAAATGTGTTGGATACGCAAACTAAAGGCCCGGACTTAAGCCTCATTGAGAATTTGTGGGCTTATCTGAAGAAGAGGACCGCCAAGAGGCATCCAAAGAATAAAACTGAGCTGAAAACCATTGTTTTGGAGGAATGGCGAAATATCCCAGTGGAATATGTCAGAAACTTGGTCCAATCGATGAATAGACGCTTGGGAGCAGTCATAGATGCCAACGGTGGCCAAAAAAGTATTAGTTTTAACTAAAAAGTAGTTAAAACATTATAATGAATTAATTGTTTTAGTTGTGTAAACACTTTCTTGTCAGCTGATTTTTGTTACTTCTTTTGTTTTTTGTTATTTTCTTTTGTTAATGGAAACATATTGTAATTTTTTTTACTTACTAATATAGTTTATAGTCTAATATACCTACTTTCATTTTAAAAAAATTGAATATGCATATTCTTACTGCTTTTATTTCACTTCAAAGTAAAAAATTCAAATTTTTTCCCTGTGTGTAAACACTTTCTTGCCAAACTGTATGTGAGTAAAAGCACGACAACAGTTATTCGCAGTAAGCTCCGCTTTCAATGCGACGCCGCTTGGCCTACAGTTTTTTTCTTTTCAGCTCTTTTGCATTTCACAGGCGATTTCGTGCTGTTGGTTTTTATTGTAGGCGTTGGATTACGTGAAGTCGTTAGATGCGAGCATTATTTAATAAAATATGCTAAACAGGCGCAAGCGACAAAATCGCAACAGCAAAAATGACAACGAAGCTAGCATCTATCTCGCTTCCACTCAAGCTGTACATGTCGGTGCATTGACTTTGGCGATAACTGTTAATTACAATAATGATAGTCAGCCGAAGAGAGACAGACAGAGTGACCGGGAGAGAAAACGAAACTTAATGAATTAAGAGACTGCTGGAGGCTGTATTTGCTGTTATTGTTGGCTTAATATATGTATGTACGTGCCCTAACTGTGTTTAGCGTATGTACATACATATGGATGTGCCGTTTTTCTGTTTGTTTTCATTTTTTTTGTGGAGATCTTTGCTTTGTGCTAATGTTTATAATTATTATTAATTTTACTTTAAAGCCATTTCAGCAAACAAAAATTCATTAGTCTAGCATTTGGTGCGCTTTCTCAAATTGTATCATTGTTGTTTATCAGTGTGTATATATTACCGTGCGATAATAATAGTAAGCAGAAGGCTGGGCGAACAGTAAAGACAACTTGTTGCCCATTCTTAAGACAGCTGCAAATATAAAACCAGAAATGTTTTCAGCGTGACTAACAAAAAGACAATTGACGCATACCCATACACATATCTGTATATACAATATAGCTGATATAGTGAGGAAATACTTGCTATAAAAACAACAAGCGTAATGTGCGAAAATGAACTACGTTCAACGTAATCCGAATGAAATAATTCACCAATACGCTATACAAACTGGCGCGCATATGTAAGTAAACAAACCAACAGAAAAACTATACAACAGGTTATACAATTCATGGACAAACTTGAAGTGGACGCTGCCGCTGCTGCTGCTGTTGCTGTTGCTGTAATGACTCATCCAGCCAGCCAGTGCAGCCGACATCACTTTTTTATGGTTAATTGGGGTTTTTATGGTTCGATTTCAGTAAGATTTTGGCTACCGGAAGATCTGTTAGCAATTCATTTATCTAATCGATCCCTACCTATATATCTTATATAAATATAATCGCATGGACTTCCTCTCCGCCAAAAGTAGCTCTGCAAAAAGCGAGCTGTCTGTGACCATTCACCCAATCAGACAGCAAATCTCAAACAGAACACCAACGGTCATTGTTCTATATGTTATCGTTGTTATTGTTGTGGTCTTGTATAATATGACTAATGCAAGCTCAGTTGAAACATGCATGCGTAATAATGTGTTATAAATTTTCAGTAACACACGCACCTTATGAGATCGCAGGGAAACGCAAACGATGGGATGCCATTAAGCACCTCCTTATCGCGAAAGCCCTCCGGGAAGCTTTCAATAATGACACCAGCGGGCGTTGCGGCTGCTCCTCCACCTCCACGATTAACACTGCCACGATCGATGCCGCGTGTGGGCTTTACTTCGCACCAAAACTCAAAGAGTTTCTTTACGTCGCTTCTGCCAAATTCACAATAATTATTTTGTATATATCAATAATAGTATATAAGATGATGAACAAATTTCACTGAGGTGGCGGCGCTCAGTGGTCATCCAAGCGTTACGCCCACTGCACATTTTATTTTTTCCAGATGTAAGTCTCTGAGAGCGACACACAATACTTACTTAATACGTGAACCCATCTGAAGATTTTCTTAATTTTGCTGCTTCTAACACATATTTTATACAATTTAATCTATGGATTTTTGTTGTTATCCGTTGTGGCTTTTTGTATATATTAAGTTTTTATTTTATTTGTAGTGTCAACAGCAGCACAGCCCGCATAAATGTTCACAGTCGGCTGCTCACTGTGACTTTTCCCTTCTCTTCTTTCTCTTTTGCTTTGACGAATCACGGATTGGTTTCGCGACGTCATTGAATCATATCATTCAATATTTTTCACCGACTATTGCGTTTGCGATTTTTCCAATTCTTTAAAAAGCACCGCTCATTTGATTCTGGGCGTTTGAATTTCCCCAATATTTATTGATCAATTTGGCACACTTATTTTCATGCGAAATAGTTGTAACAAAAACACTTTGAAAGACAAAAACACCAACAAAAAATTAATACATTGACGCAGATACAACCAACTCCGACAGCAGTTGCACTTGTACTCGATGCCCATATTTCATACTCGATACCCGTTTAGTCAGCTGCAGCCTTTAGTGTTTTTATTCTTGGTATTTTTTACCGATACCGATTCACATTTCATTACAACTTTAAGGTTTGACAGTATATTTTAATCGTTAAAGCAACGAAAATAGTCCGATAATAGCTACAGCTTTGTTTTTCTTATCGGCGCGCATTTTATAATATCTATAATAAATATATATTTCCGCTGCTCATTTAATATGCATATATCTTGTATCGGCGATCCAATGAATATAGCTGGCAACAGTCACCATCGTTGCAAAGTGTTAAACCATAAGTAACTGTAACAACCTGTAGAAATCTTTAATGCTGTTGTAACACATCCATCACTGTTTATTGTGCTTAAATAAGTTTAATCTGCTTTAGGAAGTGTGTGCTTATTTATTAATTACCATATATAGTATATATGTATGTACATATGTATAGAAAACTACATGCTACTGGTTATTGGCAATATCGCCATTGCAAGAGTCAAAGCCAAGGTCACCAGCGCACAACTGGGATGATGTAATGTTTCGGCAATCTTTGCGAGTCTTTTGAGTGATCTTAGTCTCTAACATTACATCAGAGAAGTCTGCAGTTTCCGTTTTTCCCCAACCAGTTACAAGAAACTCTTCCTGACTTTCGGTCAACTTCTGCAGTGTATCGTCTAGCGGCAAGCATATTGGCTGAATATTATCTATTTTAAGTAACGGGAATAACTAAATGTCAAACATTAGTTAATTTATATTTAAGAATTTACCTTTCAGTTTCCCATTCTCGTCCCTGACCACTTCCTTTGATAGTTTGATCAATTCTATATCATTATGACCAGTAAATTGCGAGAAATCCTTGTGCACAATAACCTTATCAATTTGTATGTCCTCAACTGGAGGCGCGCAAATATACATATATTCCATTTCCCTTGCCGGAGTCTGTTGCATTCGATTCGACAGCGATAAACTTATTGCGGTGGACGTAGTGCAATTCTCGGAACTCAGTAAAAGATTTCGGCAGTCATCGGAATATTTTAAGAAAAAAAAAAAAAGTAAAGAATATAAGCATAATATGAAAATAAATATATTATGAGTATGATTCAACTACAACTAATGATAAATGGAGCCTAATTTTCTCAATCCATTTCATAATGTGAATAAAAAATTAAAAAATTATGGACATCTTAAACTTGATCATTTAATTCTTTACATTTATATTAACCATTATTGTTTAGAATGTTTAGAAATGTAAGACATAATGCTTAAAATTTTAATGTGCCCGTTATTTTATAGAAATCATCCACATCCCTGGACGACTTGAGCACACACATATGTACTTCGTTGCATTGAGCAGTTCCGAAGTCGAAATCGCCAAAGCGTTTAAGGATCTCGCGTGCATCAAAACAGTTTCGATCATTATTGTTTACTTTCTCCTTGCGATAGCGAGCATTAAGCACGGTCATATGCAACTTGATGCTATCTCTTTCTATGTTGTCAGTGGCACAAAGCCCTGTGCTTTGGAAATAGTTCAAGCACTTGTCGGCAAACACTTGTAGGTTCGGCGACTCTACATGAGCGTAGAGCACTTTGGTGGCGCTGGGATCATCGTTCATTATTTCAAGGCCTTTAATTTTTATTTCAAATGGTGTACGTAGATCCGTTAGCCATTGTCGACATGCATTTAGTTCAGTGATAGCTTTTTGGCGTTCAGCATCATCAAGCAGCACATAGACGCCTAAAGTGATATGTATACAACGTTCTGATATGAATAGGTCCTCATCGATGCCTGGCAGTTGGGCATCTAAAATGCTTTGCTTAAAGGTTATACAAATCGATTATTAATTTATACTATATTTATATATAGTTAATACTTACCTTTAGCTCATTGAAACGTTTCTGGACTTCGCCAGAATTTAATGGAGCGGCCAAAAAATGTGTTGGCTTCATTCGCTTACGTAGAGAATCAACGAGCAGCCGAATTTTCCGAAGAGCGGCACAAACATTTTTGCGATCATTGGATTGAATAATTAAGTCATTGGACGAATCATTCTGACGTGGCACATGGATTTCTGTCTGACTTTCTGTTTCAATGCGACGCTTGGTGGATCCCTTGAATCCAATCAGACCCCCATAGAAAGATCTGCAGACGGTTTTTAGATATGATTCATTTACCATAAATTATTATAAGCTTTAATGTTAACGGAATACTCACTTGGGCACATGAAGGGCCAGTTTGTAGTTACCATTGGACAGCTGCTCAATGTCACATTCCGCAATATCTTCCTCGTAATCATCATCGGCATATAGATCTACATAATAGATAGCTAAATTATTCTGACACACAACACAAATACAGTGGAACCTTGGCTAACAACACAATTCGTCCCAGCATTTAGTTCGTTAAGCGAAGCGTTCGATAACCGAAATCACAAATGCTAATCAAGGTAATGTATTCGGGGTTTCCCCTATTTCATTGTTTAACACAGATAAAATTTTTGCATAGAATACATGTTTTCAAAGTTTTTGTTGGTCATGCGAAACAATGTTCGTTAAGCGAAACTTATTTCCCCAAGAAAAATGGTCATTAACCGAGAGTGCACTGTAATTCATTTTATTACCTGGCTCTTCGTAGCCCTTTGAAACTTTTTCATTGGCGGCGTTCCACTTGCTGCTACCACCAAAATCGTCGTGCACCATATTTACTCGATAGTTGCGATTGTTACTCATGCGCTGAGTGGTAGGAGACAAAACATTGCGACTCATTTTGTTTGCAAAGTTTTTCCGTTGTAATTTTTACCTTTACTGAGTGAAAATAATATTTCAACTTTGCCAGTGATGTGCTTCATAGACAATTGGTATTTAGTTTAAATGACATTTGAGCAGGGCTGTCATACTTTGCGTTTTTACACAAAATTAAGTTCCTTGGCGCCAAGCCTTCAGCCCTTGTTTTTCTTTTGATATGTGATTTAAGCAAAAATATGATAATGAATATGTTCCCTTTTTTCTTCAGATCCGTTATTTTTAATGTTAATTAAAGGTCTTTTGCGACATCACATTTGTCGTTTTTTCACATAGACAGCAATCAACCAGCTTCCGACAATGTGACGTCACACTTTCAAGAAATACTTTTTACAATCGATATACACTTAACATAGACTCTCAGCTGCAGTCGATATATGCAAGATATTCTATATTTATAGTTCCAGCACGTAGCTTGGGATTTGAACTAGTTCACACGTGCCACTAAATAATAATATTGTTTTTAATGTTATTCGCAACAAGTTGAGATCTTTTCATTTGTAAGCTATCAAGATGTCCGCGGCAACAGCGATTAGTCATAATAAACCTACAGAGCCACATAAGTCATGGAAAAAAATCAATGAGGAACGCAAGGCACTCAAACGTCAACGAAAACAGGACAAAGCTCTCAAAGATCTAAAAAGAGTTCAAGAGCTCGCTGCATCTGCTGTCAATGAAACAGAAAATGGAAAAGCAGCATCCAAACCAAATCCATCAACGGTGAGCATTGCCGTTCCCGGCTCCATATTGGAGAATGCGCAATCCGCAGAGCTACGTGCCTATGTGGCTGGCCAAATAGCGCGAGCTGCCTGTATATTTCGTGTCAATGAGGTGATTGTGTTTGACGATGTGGGTGTGACAACTGCCCGCGAAACAAAGCGTATCTATGAACAGGATGATGCGGACAACAATGGCAATGGAGCGGGTAAAGCGACAAGCACAGTACGAAGCAGCTCTTTGCAATTGGCCCGAATTCTACAATATTTAGAGTGTCCACAATATCTGCGTAAATACTTCTTTCCCCTGCACAAAGATCTGAAGTACTCTGGTCTGCTTAATCCACTTGACACACCCCATCATCTGCGACAGCAAAGCAAATTTCGTTATCGGGAGGGCGTCGTTTGCGATAAACAGGCAAAAGAAGGCCACAGCTATGCGAATGTGGGACTGCTAAATGATGTGCTGATCGACAAGGCATTGGAGCCCGGTGTGCGGGTGACTGTGAAAATGGAACCATCAAGTGGTAGGTATCAGAGGTTTCTATAACTTATTTCTAAATTAAAGGGGATGTTTTTGTTTTTCATTTAGATGGGAGTCGGAAACAGCGTGGTACCTTAGTGAGTCCGGATGAGCCGCGGCGGGAGACGGGTGTCTATTGGGGTTACCAGGTGCGCATTGCACATTCGCTTTCTGAAATCTTCACAAAATCGCCCTATGATGGTGGCTATGATGTGATGGTGGGAACTTCAGATCGTGGCACTAGCGTCCAGAATGTACCCAATCAATCCATTGGCTACAATCACGCACTCATTGTATTTGGCGGTCTGCAGGGTCTCGAGGAGGCCCTAGCCAATGACGAGAAGCTGACCGTCGATGATCCTCAGCTGCTCTTCGACCACTACATTAATGTGCTGCCTAAACAAGGTTCACGCACTATACGCACTGAAGAGGCGCTGCTGATAGCGATGGCGGCTCTACAAGAGAAGCTGCAACCACAGCAGGCGGATGTTGAGTGTGATTTAAGTGATTTACTGCCACGCAGCGAGGACACTGGGATTCCAATGGCGCGCGATGTCCTTGTAAGCAAGAAAAAGAAAAAAAAGCTTGTGGATAACACGGAATCCAATGAAATACAGCCAGCAGTAATAGCAACTAAACTCAGTCCAACGCCAGCAGTACCAAGGCGTCCAAATCCATTTAACGAACACAAAAGAGCCGAAGTAGCACCGCAATCTATCAGCATGGAGGCAGATTTCGAGGTGGTGTCTGCTTCAACAGGACATACAGCAGCAGTTAATGAGAATCAGAATGATGATTTAAGCCGTTTCGATTAAGTCATTTTCACACTCAGTTTTCATTTTTACTCTTTTTTTTAATTGTTTTAACTATATTGTACTGCTTCAATCATGGATGTATATATAAAAGATATTGCGATGTTATGGTGTAACGCCGTATCTTAGCTACAAAAACACAAACTTAATCTATGGATATAAATCTTTTAAGAAATATTCGTTTTACATTCTCATAACTTTAAATTGTTCAACAGTATATTTATACAATTATAGTACATGGTTCTATGTGTCGGGTCTTGTGTGGCAGCGCTCGATTTATGCTAAGAAGCAACTATATAGGCAATCTAATAGGCATTTTTCAGTCACTTGCACTATCAAACATAAGACACGAAAGTATTTTGATAACAATGGTGCACGCTCCTCTTTCAATTTATATATTAACTAGTACAAAATGTTTTATAATATTTAAATATATATGATTATATTCCTATAGACTAGATTAACGTGCAGCCAGCAGAGGCTGTGCTGAATGTATATACAGTTCACTACATATATTATAACTATATATAATATGTAGCAACATTATCGCTCATTATTAGCTATGGAATGATCGAGTCCTGAAATCGCGCCTCTGGCAAGAAGTCCTCCTCCAGCTCGATGCGCGTATCGCTATGATAGCCCAGCAGTGATTCCGTATCCTCCTCTAGATGTCGTATGGGATAGCTAATGCCATCGCCGAAGCTACGATATATATATATATTGTTGATGCAAATCGGAAAATTGATTCACAGAGTGCAAAACAAATAGAAATCAAATGGAATATAATTTACAATAAAATATTTAATAGTTTTACTATGTGAATTTGTGTCTGTGTGTTTGCTTGTTTATTTTTGTGTTGTTCGAATTTAAGGGATGATATGTATTGAATTGTGCAGTGCAATAAAGTGCAAGTGCAAAAAATTCTCATATGATAAAAAAGATTGAAATACTTTTTATAAAAATGAAATATATATTTGTCATCCAGCCTGCGCGCGTACAAAAACGTGTATATCTATTTATATATAAATGCTATAAAAAATTAACATTAGTAATCTAGCAAAAATATAAATCAAAGTGTTTAAATATTAATACAAATTAATATTAATAAAAGCATTCAAATGCGATCAAGTTTAAAATTCATTAGGTATTCTCCTTTTTTTTTTTTTTTTTTTTTTGCTTAAGGTGAGTTGTGTATACGTATATGTTTATGATCCTTTTTTTATGAGTTTTAGTATTCATCAAGTCTTTAGTCTTTTATAACAATTAGACCACTTACTATGATTTACTTTAACAAAATAACAACATTCAATTAATGATACTGTTTAAAAATTGCCCCATTCAAATTGATTATCTTCATATATATATATATACGCTCTGATTTTATAATTAGCCTAAATGTCTTATTGCACAAATTAAAAATAAATTGTTTTAGGCATATTTTTCATAATACATACATACATATATATATATGCGATTGATGTGTTTGGATGTTAAGGCAACTGGGCAAACGGTGCTATAGGTAGTAAGAGTTAACATTAATCCCATCGAAACCCCTTCATAAGACTTACAAGTATGTATTCAATACACACACGCACACACATGCTTCCAGACACACATACACACACACACGCACACACTCTAGCAGCTAGCATCGTATTACATCAAATGGGATAACTTGCTACTTGAATTGATTTGCATTTCACACAATTCGATCGTCAGCTATCGCAGTTGGATGACCATTCAACTGAAAATGATCCTTGGGAACTACTTGATCGCCGATCATATCGACGACATGATTGTTGAGGGTTGGCGCTGTCTTCGTCGTTGCTGCGGCTGCGTCTGCTGTTTGTTCTATGTTGACAGAGACTTGACTAGACGGTATTAGAGGATGATTGTTGCTAGATGATTGGACGTTGTCTAGCTCCAGATGAGGTTGGTGATTATTGAGTGGAATTGCGTCAATCAACTTATCTGTGTGGTCGGCATCTAACCTGTTGCTGGTTGCTGCCCCTGCTGCCGTCCTGCCCATAGCCTCGTATCGTTGGGCATTCCCATTGCCAAATTGATCAGTGGAGGTCACGAAGTATAATCCATCGCCCTTACTAATTGAGGTTTTAGTTTTCGTGTTTTTCCAAATTTGTGAATAAGCAAAAGTATTTGGTATTTGTTAACAGAGTTTGATTGAAAATTGTGGCGATTGTTGTTTTTGTGGATAATTGCAATTTTGTTGTTGTTGCTGTTGCTGTTGCTCTTTGTTAGATAGATAAATTTGCGCTTTATACAATTTGGTTGATATATACATTAATTGTACAGTATATCGAATGTGTTGTTTTTAGTAAGCCATTGTTAGCATCAGCTTTTAAAATAATTAGTTACAGACCTATGTTAATTGTTTTTTTTTTTTTTTTTTTTACAAACTAGAGCCCTAACTAGAGCTAGTTGTAACACAAAATGTAAACAAATTATAGCTATAATTATCGCAAGCGGATAATGTTCATTATCCGTTAGTTAAACACTAAACTTTATATTAGGTCAATTTTAGTAGGACTTTTGATAATTGCTTAGAGCTATTTTATGTATGAAAGGACTTCGAGTAACATTTGTACCTTGCAACATTTGCTTTTTTGTTTAAGCTTTACAAATTATTTTCTAAACTAATGCAAAAATGTAATTCATTTAATATTTAGTGTGTGGGAGTGCAAGTACTAACAAAAAAAGAAGCGTTTCATTTCGCAAGAGGTGATAAGTTAATAAGAGAAGCATAAATTGGCAATAGGCAATGATTTTAAAAATAAACAAAACACACACACAAAAACAACAAAGAGTGTAGCACAGATAAGTAAATATATGGATATATGTATATATATACATCGATCATATATATTCATATCATAACGTACCTGGTAAATACTGGCAAGAACCAATACTGCCATTTGTCACCAAATACCTCGCAAAAATTGGCAAAACGTCCCAAATTATAGCCATTCTTGTCGGGTCCACCAACGCGAAAGATGGGCGCACGAAATGCCTCTAAAATTACAAATCAAATCAATATGATGTAATGCATAGGTATATTTCACAGATATTACCCAGTGTGGTGCGGTTGACGAGCACCAGATAGATGTGGTATCCAAATAAGCTCACCAAGCTAATGGCAAACATGATCGATATGAAGAATAGAAAGAGTATGTGAAAGCGTCCCATGCCGCTGCCACCTGGCTGCCCCTGTGTCGAAACAGCAAGACCATTTTCTTATCAACTTATCAAATTTAATATATATGTGTAACAAGATGTATGTCTAATTGCATTCATTAACAAACAAGCATATCCAGCTAGGAGTTAAACAAGCTATCATGCATAAGCTTCAGCTGTGGGCTCGACTTACCTGGACGAACATTATGAAGTCGTTAAGTGTGGTGAACGCCACGTACAGGCAATAGACCAGCGCATAGCCCAAAAATAGGACGAAAAACTTGTAATTGGAGAAGTTGACGCAATTGTTCACCCATGGACAATGATGATCCATTTTCAGTACACAGCAACTGCATACGCTGCAATGATGCGATCGATCCGGCTTGATGATCTTGCACTTCTCACAGAATCTAACAGAGCCATTGATTGTGCTGAAAGTATATGAGTATACAAGAGTGGAATATATATATTTGCTTACATTATGCGCAATTTCTAATCATGATCAATTATACTATAACAATATAAAAAATAGATAGCTTATCTACTTTATATCTATTATTTATTCAATAAATATGCATTTGAGTGTACATTTAACGTACTCGAATTTATTTTCTGACTGACTAAACTGCCAGCAGCTTACATTTATCAATTATAGGGAATTATATTATTCATCTTCCTGCAGAAACAGTCGGTCGTATCTCAAATTGCTTTTTTTTTTAGATATTCAGACGCATAAAGCTCTTTTGAGAACAATTAACTTGTAGTATTAAAACATTTTAGTATGACTGAAGGGCAGCGATTGTACTAAATGTTTGCTAACATATTTAAAATTTAGGCACAGCTGTTTTACTATAATGATTTCCTTACCGATTCGTAACCGGCAAATTGCGCGCAAAATTGTTTAGAATGCGCTTTTGAGTCTCTTGATTATCGGCCCGGAATAGCTGATTCACTTCTTCATCCGGTATGCGCCACTGAAATAGAAGATATTTTCATATATACTGTTTCGATGTTTACACTGTGAAAACATGAAAACGAAACTTTCGTGCCCTTAATTATCACAGCCTTATCAGCGTGTGAATCATACAAGTGCACGTCTATGTGTTTGTGTGTGCTAGTTTTACCTGATCCGGCACGCGGCCCACTGGCGTGTTAATAGTTTGCCAATAGGACCAAAGGAACAATACGAGAGCGATGTGATAGAAAATCAGCAGAAATATCTTCGCAACATTATTCTCGGTTTTCACTGTATGTAAGGCGCGTAAGAGAGAGAGAGAGAGATAGAGTGTATCGTTTACGTTCTTTGTAAGCGATATTTTGGTTACTCACGAACACATAGCTCCACCACATAGGCATAGTAGGACCACGCGATCACGCCGAATATGAATAAAACGGGTATCCACTTGAAGGCGGACAAACAGCAATTACAGGGAGATTTCCTTCGACGATTGTCATCGTTGCCCATTCTGCCGAATAGGGGGCACGGCTCTGCGTGAATCTGTGAGTGTGTCTGTATGTATGTTTGTATGTCTGTATGAATGTGTGTGTTTGTTGGCGGCACCACCGCTGTCGTAGCCAGCTCCAGGCTCTTTTAGATTTCCTGTTATGTTATATTGTGAGATGGGCAGTTCGCTCGATGTTTGTTCCTTCGTTGTTTCGTAAATCACAGTCAGTTGATTGTCACAAACAATAGGCGAACACACATTGGAGCTGGGTTGCGCTTTCCTTTTCTTTATTTATTTTCGTTTTTTTTTTTTTTTTTGTATACACAGACACTATTGCATTTTTCTCTTTCAGCTGGGACAAGTGAAAGTGATTGAAACTAGCTTTTAGCCATGTTTTATATTGCTTTTAGTTAGTTTAAAGCCATCGCCTGCTGGTAAGAGGAACAACCTTTAGCAGCGTGCTAGAGCCAATATACAAGTATTGCAAAGTTAATAAATATAAATATATTTATCTGAACCGATGGCTCACTTCAAGAATGGTTTGTGGTGAAGAGTGATGTGCATGCGAAGTTGATAATATATCGATATTTCAAATTGGAAGCCTGAAAATAATTTGAAATATTTTTGACAATTAAAGGAAGACAAAAATTTTTGAGCTAGAGTTACTTTGCTTTGATTAATACGACATTTATATGCGAGAAGCATGTGTCTGAAATGTGAAAATAATAAGCTGAGATCGAATGAAAGATATCGAACCTGTTCCAAGGTACATCAGCGTTGCCAACTAAATAAAAATAGTTGATGTCATGTTGTGACGTCACGTGTGCTGCCATCAGTCTGGCAGCGCTACACAGAAACGATACCACCGGCTGTACGAAATGTATCGAGCTAGCCCAATAAGAATCCAAGTTTCAGTATTATAGTAACGTGTGCCGTCGTCAGTGGTGGATATATATTCTGTCCGATATCGGATTATGCGTACTGCGTGCGTTTAAAATCACACACACCAAAAAAAGTAATTATAACCAGTTAATGCAAATCTTATGCAAAGTAACTGCAGTGTTGACAAACAAATTCAATAACAAAAATCCAATTGTAAACCTTTTTACAATAATTCACATTAGAAATTTTTGATTGTGCAAGTGTATGTAAAATGTGCGCGTAATAAAAAACGAGGGCGCGATATGCACGAGGAGCCAAAGGGGGCGGTCGGTCGGTTGAGGAGGTGGGCTGTGGGCGGCAGTCGACAGGCTCACAAAAAAAAAAAAAAAAAAAAAAAAAAAAAAAAACAAAATATACATACAAATTTCTACCTATCACTTTTGCCAGCTTGTTGTAGTTGTTGTCGTTGCCGACGTCGTTGCTGGCAAGGTTTTTGGGGACGCCTGTTGGGGTCTCTTCTCGTTCTTCTTGTAGGCGGTGGGGGAGGTGGGGGCAATCAATAAACGCGCTTCCACTAGGCCGCAGGTCAAAACGGAAGAGCGGGCAGAGCAATGGGCAGAGGAGGGTAACATTTTGTCGAATGCCGGCTGAAAATGTTTAATTAACAATTAAGTGCTGCCCACTCTAATAAGAAACATAATCTGTACCTCATTCTAATCAGTTGATCTAATTGTGATAACGTGTGTTTGTGTGTGCGTGTTTTTTTTATTACTTAATTAATGTTATGCGCGGTACAAATGTGCCACAATCGTTGATTAATTAATTGCAAAATTTAATTAAAATTAAAAGTTGCTTAACGCATTGATCTGACACACAAACTGATTGGTATATGCGGCTTATCATATTTGAGGTTTGGTGGGGTTATTAGACTAACCCAACTGCAATTGCCAATTGGGGTCACGGTCAGCGTTGCCAAACGGGCGACTTTTAATAAGCCAAATGCCAATCAGAGCAGAGGCAGGTGTACTAACACAAGCACACACTTTTTGTTGGCCTGTGTGTGTGTGGGGAGGGGGGAGTTGTGCAAGCGAAGAGAGAACGAAGAGAGAGCAAGCGAGCAGCTGCTCTGGTGCTCGGTAGACAGGCCCAAAAAGCACAAAGCACAAGTGCAAATAAACAATACAAACAAATGAGCGAAGCACACACCAATATGCACACATGCGTACATATGTATATATACATATAAATATATATAAAAATATACGTATATATGTATATGTATATTGCACTACAAACAGACTCAACAAATTGCTGTGCACACACGCAGAAAATATTCAATGTTTATTTAAGCGCGAATAACTCACACACACACGCGTAATTAATTAAACAATTACATTGCCAAAAAAGTAAGCGAATTGCGTGTGCATATATATATTCAATATATATATGTATTTATTTCATTTTTTTTATGAGTTTAACAACTTTGCATTTCACATTGGAAGAAAATACCTATCAGTAAATCTTATTGGATTTGTTGTATGTATTGAATCAGCAAAATGATAACGGTAAAAGTATTTACATAGTATTTTAATTTGAAAATCTTTCTACCATATACTTGGTATACGTTTCTACAAATATGTATGTGTAGCATTTCTCATTTTCAATCAAATCAAATAAATAAATATAAAATATTTTGTTGATACACAAAATAAATGTACTTGAACAACAACTCTACACTAAAGCCAGCAGCAACAGTAGCAGCGCAGCAGCAGCAGCAAAAAGTTGAAGCTTTGATTTGGCCGCAAGAGCCTTCGCCTTCGCCTTCGCATTCGCCTTTACCGTCGCCGTCGCCTTCGCTTTCGCCCTCGATTTACGCCCTCCGATAAACCCAAACAAGCCAACCCAAGAGTAACAAATTAAATTTGGTTTTAGCCAATAGCAGCAGCAACAACAACAACAACAACAACCACAATAACAAAAGCAACAGAGTAATCAAAAGAAGTAAAAAGTCAGCAAGTGGAGACAGCAAACAGCAAGTAAGCGCGAGAGCAGACGGCCAGAGAGACAGAGGTAGAGTGGGGGAGAGAGAGAGCGAAACAAACGTCGTTTTGTGGTCTAGCAGCAGCAGAGCAGCAGCGTCAAAGTCAGGTGAGTGCTGATACTTGCTATTATTGCTTTCCATTAGTTTCTTCACGCGATTAAATATTTTACGGGCTTATCAATAACTCCCCCAAGGGTGACATTTGCTTGATAAACAAATAAATTCGCTGAGCGAACGGGTAAACGGTTGAGCGGTTGAATAACGAGCGCGCGGTCGGGCGGGTGGCAGCGTTGAGAATTCCAGCTAAAGTGTGTGCATCAAGTGGCAACGCTAATATGCACTTACACATACATACTTATACCTTAAGTAAATAGGTGCACTCGTTATTGTTTTATGTGACATTCATTAATATTTCGCTTCCAAGCACACACATACATACACACACACACATCCATCAAACTCCGTCATCTATCAGCATTAGCGGAAGGCCAGCGGTTACATTAGTCACGCGCACACAATTCCAAGCGGGCGTCCAGCTGGTGACGTAGCAGCCAGGAGTTGAAACGGGAACGATAATGGGAGTGGGAAAGAGAAAGCAAATTGGAATGGGAATGTTAGAGGAGCTGTCATTGAGTCTGTGGACTTGCGGCTGTGGGCGGGAAACAGAGCAAATACTTGCGTAGCATATACAATTCTATTGCCTGCGGCAAGCTACGGCTTCCACTCATCGACTCTCTTTTACTCAGTGCTGCTCTCGATTGCGGCATTGCTGCTAACGGTTTTATTCCCATTGAGTTGGGCCCGTAAGCCAGATTGCTTGCATGCCCGCACGTTTCCTGGACGCAGCTTCAGCGTCTTGGCCGATGGGCCGAGGTTGCTTTATTGATTACGTAGCGCCCAGCGAGAACGCTCCGATGAATGTAATACATTATTGGAGCTTAACAGTTGGCCATTCTCGTTACGCAGCCTCCGTTCTGCTGCAGCGGCAATGGGGCACAGGGCATATCTAAAGATTACATAGAGAGCTTTAATTACATATATACAATATTTGCTTTTACTGAGGCTGTTCTTAAAAACTAAAGGACTTTTATAATTCTATGTACATACAATATTACATAAATGTATATGTTCGTTTTGTTTTTTTTTTTTTTTTTTTTTTTTTTTTTGTATCATTATTGTGCTTATGTCTTTTAACCAAGTGCTGGGTTTATTGCGATCCCGTAATAAGTCAGGGAAAACTTTTTTGTGTACGCCAGAGCTCAGAGGTATTTTTATTGACAGAGTAGAGGCAAAGTAGCCTGACCCTTCACTCTCGCGCCCTTTCTCTCTCTCTCTCTCTCTCTCTCTCTCTATTTGTCTCTCCTCCTCACACACACTCTGCTGTGTGTGTATATTAAGGGCTTTGCCATTGACAAGGGTTTCGTTTGTTGTTGTTGCTTCGACTCTACAGTTTCGTCTTGTTGCACGTGAAAATCCCATCATGAAGACAAGAGGCAGGACCCTTAGTTGCTGTTGTTGCCTTTATTACTTTTTCATTCCCTTTGGCGTTTAATTTTCTTGCTCTCTCTCTCTTTCTCTCTCACTCTGTCCTTCTCTCTTAAACAAACATTTTTTAGCTCCTTTCATGTTGCTTCTTGTTTAAAATGTATATGATATACATATATGTATATCATTTCATTATTATAAAAAATAAAAACAAATTTTGAATAACTGTTTGAGCGGGCGAAAATTCTTTACGCTGATTTCTAGACAATGTTTTTTCCAATAAGAATTCTTGTTTGGAGTTCAGCTGCGTATTCATTTCGAAAATAGAAATGAATGTACACAAAAATTGAATAAACAACTATTTCGAAAAATCTAGCTAAGGCACGAGGCGTATGCGCAATTTCTATGGCCTCTCAGCCGTGTGCAGGTGTTTCTGTTTTGTCTGGCCAAAAAAGGCAAATGCGTAAATTTGAACAAACTTAACTGAACTTAGGTGAGCGAAATATTATTAATTAGATCGCAAATCAACAAAATTTGTTTTCTATGATTAATTATTTGTAAATATTCGCGTAAAAACCAACAAGCAATTTAGGTTATGATTCACAAAATGTTATTCATTATGAATGCCCCACATTTGTCGTCTTATTGCGTGGGAGTTGGCCGAAAACAATGAGAGAACGTGCCTAACATCAATAAAAAAAATAAATCACATACATAAATTTATATATACATATATATACATAATTTATATATACATATATACAGCATATCTATTTTGCTCAATCATAAAATATGCTAAAAAGAAAATGCTTCTCTAAACATGCTAATGAAAATTCTTTTTAATTGCTTTGCTATGTGTGGCACAAGCCAAATAAAAAAAATAAATAAAACTAAAAAACAACCTTCAAAAATTCAAGTTTCAGTTTTTTCTCTTGTTGAGTTTTTTGCTCTGAGCTCTTTGCTTTTTACGCCGCCAGCAGCAAAGCAAACAATTTGCCAAGTTCATCAACATTTCCATTTAATTTTCAATTTATGTATTGCAAGCACTTAACAATTAGTAATTAGGCCAATAGATAAAAGCCAAGTAGGCATAGGGCTAAAGTAAATTAGAGCGCAAATAAGACAAATAGAATTTTCCATTGCGAAGACGCAAATAAACGAGCTCAATGAAAGCGTGAAGCTTAACTAACTTTATATATTAGATTCATACTAATGTGGTCTTACAACGAAGTTTTAAGTCAAGTTGGAATTTTAATACACAGGCAAAGAAAATTTTATACATATACTAAATATACTATACTAAATATTCTACTTGTTCTCGTTTGCAATTGGAAAGGGATTCCTTCTTAAAATCCATTGTTACTTGCCAATTCGCATATTTGGCTCAGAATATCAACTTGGCTTATCACATAATACAATAATATTCCGATTCGAATTTAAAAGTTGGGCATTTTACGATCCATTTCAGCTTTAATATTGATGTTATTCCGTTTGAAATCGAAATTTATCCCATCTTCGTCGAAAATCGAACGGAAATGGCCTTCACAATTAAAAGTAAATTCATAGCTAACGTTAATGAATTTTACTTTACAGCTGAGATCCAAGCAAAGCTTATCTAAAACATAATCCTCTTTTGAATGCCCCATTGAGCAGCCAAATAAAGGACACGCTCCTTCCCATCAGGCGATGCTCTCCGCTCTTTGTTCACCCGCACAAAAGGCAATGAAGCTTAAGAAGCTCTATTCGATTTTAATGGAGTGCAAGCTCTATTACCTAATGTGCCAATGGATATGCTTAAGCGATTTGAAATTTAATCTTTATTTATATTGTTACTTAACGAATAACGAGAAAAACATATATGTATGTATGTATGCTGATTAGATAAAATGCTATCGTACTTTTTATGCTGCTAAGAAAAATACCTTAAAAATGTTATTATATTAAAATATAATAAATTCTTTATCCTCTACTCTGCATATCTATTCCAACATAATTGAAGACAACGTTCGCTCTTTAAAGGTTAAGTAATAGCACACAAAACTAAAGATAAGAAAACTGAGTAAATAGACTAGGCAGTTTATGTTCTATTTCTGTATATATGTGTGTCGGCTGATACGGTGCGTTCAGCACGTGAGCAATTTGGCTGACACATTTAAGCAGTCCCTAAAGCTAATAGGCAATAGCTTTGAACAGATTGCGTATACGGCGCGTTGTACGACAAGAGACAAGAGCCAAATAGCAAACACTAAATGACTTTTAAAAGCCAATTAATGCACGATATCTGCGACTCTAGACATGCCAATGTGCCAATATGCCAATATGGACTGTCAATATGTTCGACTTGTCAAATATCGAAAATCGCTTCTATATGTCGCACGCCCGCCCGCACTACAGCAACAATAACAATGCTCGTTTTGACAGTTGTTCAGCAATAGAGACAACGAGGGGACAGAAGGAGCAGAGAGTGTGGGTGGGTGGGGAGAACAAAAATTGAATTTTGTGTTTGGCTGGACGGTTTTTTTCTTTTTTTGTTTTTTTTTTTTTTATTATTCCCTTAGCTGCTGGTGCGAGCGAAATTGTTAGAAGCGTTTTTCCCATCACTTTTTTTTTATTGGCAGTAAATTAGACTTTGTGTCATCGTTCCACTTACAAAATATAAATATATATATGCGAATACTTCGTGCGAGGGCTCATTGATAACTTGTGTAGGCGATTTTGCTTGAATATCGAAACAGTGAAATTACTACTACTATTTCTCTATAGTATTGCTAGCTTTTATGCTCACATAAAAAATGTTGATTAAATATCCAATTGGAATTAACAAGAATTTGCACATTTCTTAAGCAACCTCTGCTGTTGTTTTGTTAGCAAATTCATAAATTTCAAGTATTTAAACACCTAGACTTATTTATAAATACATTTTTTAATAATACAAAATCTGTTGCACCGCATAAAAATGAGAGCACATATAAAATTAAAATAAAATAAAAAACACACACAAAACAAATAAACCGCCCACACAACACAGCCAAAAAAAAAAAAAAAAAAAAAAAAAAAAAAACACAACGAGGCAATAACAATATTTTGTGCATTTTACTTTTTATACTTTTGACTCATCGCAGACTCAATTTTAATCTCATTTGGTGTGTGGAGACTTGTGGCTGTGACTGTGACAGACTTTGAGTGTATGCGTATTAGCCTGGCTGATAAGCTATCTACATTTTTGGCTACTTGACGCAATTTGCTGGCTGCCCTTCTCTGTCCTCTCTGTCTATCTTTTGCACTTGGGCAACTTTTTGCTTACTTAATTTAAGGCTTATCAAAAGTCATATGCAAAGTTTATATGGAGACACATACAACTGATGACGTCTTTTGGTCAATCGACTCGATGGTTCTAGAGGGCGCCTCTTGTCTCTAATGACACCTCAGCAAATCAGTCTGCAGCGCTTTAATTAGAAAAAAAATTTTCATGGAGACGCAGCTAAACTTTTGACTTTACTGATTGCAAAACTTTGCCACTGAACTATGGCCAGTAGACACAAACAGAGAGAGAGAGAGAGAGAGAGAGAGAGAGAGAGAGTGAAGGGGAGAAAGAGATGGAGAAAGGGGGATTAAATGAAAG